GAAAAGGCAGAAAAACGAGATTCATTATTATCGAGTTCAAAGGAAAATGAGTCATTTGCGCCAATTACAAAGAACATTCATTGTTTAAATTCAAAAGAATCTACAACAATCTTGAAACGTCCTCAACAAAACAGAGAAAAAATGCTCCGATCTCTACTCCAGGATATTCTAGACATGCGTCAAAGATTGCGCGAGTCAGATCCCACAATAGTCGGTGTCAATGAAGCATTAGAAACTACATTGAGCTTAAGTCACGATTACTTTCAGACGAAATCTCGATACAAGTTTCTCGAGCTCGAAACAAATGATAGAGAATATCTTTGTAATCTAGACCCACAGCTCGTTGAGGAAATATGCGCTGAAATGACGGCGCTTGATGACTATTTTTGCTTCCATTATGAAAGGATGATCGATAATATAATGCTTTCCTTTATCAAAGAACAGGGACTGAATGGGTTCAAAAAAATTTTTGAAACATTGTCAAAACATTCACCTCAAATGGCTAAACAGAAAGAGAGAATATACATTAATTGGCTTGAAACCGAAGGGGAGCATAGTGAGATGGAATCTTTAACAAGTGATTATGAAGTTTCCGATCTAGATGACTCTGAATTTGCGCTTGATTCTGAACTTGAGCTTGACTCTGAATTTGAGTTTGATTCCGAGTGTGAGCTTGGTTCCGAATGTGAATGTGAGCTTGATACGGAATGTGAGATTGATTCCGAATGTGATAATTCAGATTGGATTAACGACGACATAGTAATAACGTCCAAGAATCGAGATGTGAATATACAAAGTTCGTCACAGCTACTGCCGCAAAACCAACGAATTAATATCCTATGGTTGCCACTTCTTATTTTTGGAATATTTTTTCGCCTTATAACTTTTATATTTGTTCGAGACTCAAAAAATATCAAGGACAATTATGAGACGGAAGACATTGATAAAATAATCATTTCAAATAATATTGATGAAATTCTACAAACAATTATAGATAACTTTAATAATAGTCATAGCAATGAGAATAATGACAATGATAGTTTTCAGAATAAAACATCAATAATACCGACAAAAACATTCCTTCGATCTAGAACTAGGAAACGAATTGCTAATAGAGCTCCTCGATCGCGATAAAGACTAGATTGAATTGCTAAGACCTTGAATTAACTAGTATTTTCGTCTTTGTTTCTGAATATTAAAAGAACATTATAAAACATTATTAGACTTATCCCCTGTATAATGTATCATCATGTACTTAATTTTTAATAAATTTCTTCTGCAGCTTTGTTGAAAGAAACCAATTCTAATTTGTAGGATTTGACGGAAAACATCTGATTTTTAGTGGGTCAGCCAAATTATCATCAGGTCCCTTAGTAATTGATAATACAAATATTGACTAACAAAATGAAATTTCTTTTTTCTTATCAAACCATGGATCAAAATAACAAATTTAATGCAAAGATCCATTGGCCACACTAAAATAAATTAAATTAAAGATAAGAATAAATGAACATGTAGCATGGTTTGTGGTTAAGTAGAGCAAACCATAGTAACCTTGAAACGATAGGCTATACGCGCAAGAAACGCAAGATATATCCACATGGTCAAATAATTTAATACTCACCCTTCGATAAAGAATCTTGTTAAAAAATTTGTCCACGTGATAAGTGATTCCAAAGTCGGTGTGATTTATCATATGATACGTGTAATCTGACCAGGAAAACGAAATAAATGCCTAAATCTAATTGGTGCTCCAATCAAAGGCCAATACATGTTCTACATACATGAACAACGATAATCTTACCCTAAATCTAACTTAATCTGGCCTAACTTTAAAATTATCTTTAGCTTTAATTAGAATTTTCTGGAATCTTTCACGTAACGTACTGGTTAAATTGTTTTCATGTTATTAAAGAAATTACATGTATTGTTAGAAACTTAAAATTTTTGCTTTAGTCAAAATGTGGTATGTTTATATCCTGGTACAACTTTCGATATAGTAAATATCTCGTTATAATAAAGAATTTTCTGAGAATTGTTATTTAAATTTTCTCTTGATCTAATGAAATTATATATTAAGTTCTAAGCTGTAATGAAAATTTCTTCCTTCTTCACTAGTAAGATGTAATAAAAATCCTATATTATAACATTCATAAAATAATTTTATTTTGTTTGCTTTCTCAGCACATTAAATTAAGATATAGATTTAATATAGATTTAGAAGTCGCAGCTCTCAAAGAGAAAAAATTCAAAATTTAGTTTTCAAATAAAAACTAAATAGAACTCAAATCTAATTCTAATAAATAAATCTACAGTGGTAATCATAAATAATAAGGATTATAAATTTATTTTTATTTATTTAAAAAAATTAGTTACTATGTGAAAAAATCAAATAGCTAAATACTAACTAATTTTTTTAATAATTTATTTTATGTTCATTTTCGGCCACCAACTCTTCTAAATAATGAGGTATGCTTTTTACTAATTCAATCAGCATGCTATTTTTGAGGCCTATCCATTCTGACTTAATTAATTCTTTAAATTTAACAGATATAATAGCTTTTTTTTGCATCTTCTTATTAACCTTTTTTTACTCTTTCTTCAGAATCACTCACAAATTTTTAATAAAATTAAGATCTAGTAAATTTGATGACCAATCTAAAACTCTTATATAAGAATCAGTTAGAAATTACTTCATTATCTTTGTCAT